TATATAAATTTAGCATACTTGATTAATTACAATTTCCTTTTACTAGTTAATTATATTAAAATTTAGAAATGAATAAAAAATATTTTAAAGAAAAACAGTGTTAAGCATTTATTTATTTATTTTTAATGAAAAACCGAAATTTATTCTATTCGTTTCACCTCTTTTCTCCTTAATATCCAGTTTATATTAACATTAAGTAAATTTTAAAGTACATTTATAAAGAGAGAATTGTTTGGGAATTAATTTTTTATTTTCTTTTCTTTTTATAAGCTTTTAAAAAAAACGTGAAAGCTTACAAAAATAAATGTAATAGTACCTCTTTGCTATGAAATCTAGCAACGTAGATTCCATTTAGTTAAGAACAAAGCTTAGATTTGATTCAATTCAGTCAATTTGTTTCCATACTGATGACATCTTGGGATTGTTTTCCCATCTCCTAACATAAAATTTTCACCGGATGGTCACATTATCTTTTATATTCCATCCATAAAAATGATTTTTTTTCTTACTGCAAAACTGTATGAAAATTTTATTTTATGAGACGAAATATATATATATATATACTTTTTTGGTCTCATGAAATAAGTAGGAAAAATATTTTTCGTTCTTAGTTTTCTTACTTATTAATATAACTATACTTTTTATTTGAAAATATTTATTAACTTTAAAATTAAAGGGAGATAAATTTAATACATTTATTTATTTATTTATTATTTTTCTTTAGGTTACAAAGAAAAAAAAAATGTTGATTGGCAGTGGGTGAATGAAGCTAGGTAACATTAAAAAGTGATAAAATTTAACGTGTATGATGAACGTATTCAATGTGAAATTTCACTTAAACATGTGAGTAATTTGACAGGTTAAAGGAGTGAATCCAATTAAGTTAATTTTTAATTTATTTACATTATAAAATATTAAATTTTGTTGCCAATAATAAACTTAAAGTTTTATTTTATAAACCCTTTTAAAATTCATTTTTCTTGATTGAAACAATAATAAATGAAATAAATTCTTAATGGAAAAGTTAACTTAATATATTTTTATATAATAAGAGTTTTATTGATTTCATTTTATTTTCCTTTATATAAAATATTCATCTTTAACGTAATTTTATTTACAATTTAATGATGTATTTATGTTATATCATATTAATTGTTCTGATATTTATGATGATAAATTAATTAGATTATCAGTAAATACAGTAAAACCTCCGTAAACCGGAATATTTTTCCCGGATTAGCAGGTTTCCGTTTTAAACAGGTTTTTTTTAAACATAAAATTTGCTTCAATTTTTTTTCCGTTTTGGACAGGTTTTACTGTAAATACATTAATTTTTGTGTCATTTATAAAGTTAAATAATCAATTAAATTTAAAAAGAAACTATGTTAAAATGAATGTTTAATATAATAAATAAATTACAAAATTCTTCTAAAGTTCAAACAGTGAAGCTTTCATTACATAAAAACACATTACATTA